TAACATATTTTAACCAATTATTTTAAACATCACTAAAATTGTTCTTGCCAAATAGTAAACGTCACTCGACCACCTCAGATCCCCAAGAGTTGTGTGAGTTTGGTGACTACATTATTCAGATGATCAACCTTTTTATTTGTCTCTTTCCGATCTTTCTGTCCCTGCGCCCGTTGTTGCAACATCTCATTGGGGGTGTTTGGGAACCTAACTTTGAGGCTAAAATAGCCTTAAGGTCTAATTTAGCCCACTAGCCTAAAAAAATATGTAAACCAATGATTTTTATTTTTATTTTTATTTTTTTTAAAAAAAAAACAAAAACAAAAGTAGGCTTAGACAGTGTAGGTTGAGTGTAATTATAACCTAGTCCCAAATGAGTAAATGACCATTTTGTCCCTTTAGACTAATTTTGAAAAAAGTAAGAGTAGGGACAAATCTGTCATTTCACTTTAAATATCATTTCAAACACATTTTTCAATACAACAACTCAAATAAAAATCCAACCCAACTTCCCAAACACAAAAACTAAAATAGCCTACTAAAATAGCCAAAAAGTAGGTATATTTGTAATCATAGCCTAGTCCCAAATGAATAAATGACAATTTTACCCCTTTAGATTAATTTTGAAAAAAGTGAAACTAGGGACAAATTTTTCATTTCGTTTTAAATATCATTTCAAACACATTTTTCAATACAACAACTCAAATAAAAATCCAACCCAACTTCCCAAACACAAAAACTAAAATAGCCTACTAAAATAGCTAAAAAGCCTCTAAAATAGCCACTTCCCAAACACCCACATTGTAACATCTCTCACGCTGCTCTCGCTCTTTCAATATCTCATTGTAATATTTCTCATGCTCCTCTCGCTCTCTCATCAACTCTTCACGATCTCTTTGTTGCTCCTCACGAAGAGCTTTGAGGCCAAATCAAACGGGGGTAAATATATCTTGCCCAAAACTTTAAAAGTTGAGACCCAACTCTAAATAGGTTCTTTGTTGTATAGACCACCCTCGAGTACTTACAACCTTGAGTGGCACAGCATAGGAAATCACCAAATAGATCCTTATGATATAATGGAAATTGGGCCATAACAAACTTAAGAAGTCAAAAAAAAAAACACAACAAAACCACCTCCTACCCCAACATCTTCACTCATGATGCAGACAACACAGGTTATACCTACTTAATAGCATTAATAGAGTTGAAAACTGAAGGGAGAAAAACAGATTGTTTGAGGCAAGATTACCCCGCAGCCATTTCAGCAGCCTTTTTGACACTTGAGTCATGTAGATTCTTCATCTCATCAGCACTCCTTCAGTTCCAGTCTCTATTTTCTTTCCTTTTTCTGATGTTGTGGCACTTCCATCAATTTCAGAACTTGAACTGAAAATTTGTTGCACCTGTTTTAGCTTTCCGTCATAAAAGGACTTCTGTTCAGATAATTGCTTCACTTTTCTTTTGTTAAATAACAAAGCATAGTGGTTGGACAAAGACTCCAATTCCTGCAAATGATATCAATTTAGGAGCTTAAGCCAGAACTATCATTCCAGGTGGCATTGGATTGAAAGACATTCAACCAAGAAGATAAAGAAGGTGACCTCCAACTGTTTTGGACCTCTGTATATGTAGAAGCATCTATCAAATGTCACTTCTTCAAACAATTGATCCTCATCATCTTGTGCTTGAGCTCCCTTCTTATCAACTTCAATACCAGTTTCTGTAATCATAAGATCAATGGTCTCCTTGCCTACAAGCTCAAGCACTTGCATTCCCTTTGCAGTAAAAGCTTTTCCACTCTATAAAACAATGGCACAGAAATAAGTTACTACGAGCAATTAATAAGATGACAAGTGTCATGAGTACCTCTATTAAGGATGGGGCAACATAACCAGCTGACGGTCTACCCCCTTGTTGAATAAATTCAGCAATATTTACAGCAGAATTCTCAAGCCTGAAAAACACAAGAGACAAAAATCATTTAATTAGCAGAAAAAAATTTAGGATCTTCGGGCAAGAAATAAGTAACTGTGACCCCATCAGCCAGAGTCTACCACAATAATTGGTCAACGAGCATCTACAAGTTTGCACACACAACTTTCATATATTCAGTATTTTTTAAATTTCCCGGATTCTGGAAGTTTCTTTGAATGTCAATTGAAAATCGAAGTATTCCTACTGCCTCACCTACAACATCAAAAGTTCTACCACTTCGAAAACAAGTTGTAACAACAAGAGTGAAAGAGTAGCCACTCACTACTCTTTGACTATTTCTAAAAGCAATTATATTTATGTACTTAACGATTTCTAAACATATATGGATATACCCCATAACATTCTGACAAGTATCGTACCATCAAAATTACCTTCCAGGACATCAGTTTCTCATCCAATCATCTAAATGATGTAATACCAACCAGTGAACATTTACTCCCAAAAGTGCAGTTCCTAAGATATCAATATGAAGATAAAAACCTTGACCCTTGCCATTATAAACACAAGTATGCATAATCATTAACTTCTTGAGAAAGTACACTAATAAAGAATCTGAAGTCTCATCTGCCATGCACTTCAATTTGTGTATAACGAATGTTGTTTTCATGAGAATAATTAATTATAAAAAGAGTATATTTTAAAAAGTTGAGTTGCAATGAAGTCATACTATTGAACAAAATCAGAACCCCCTCTTAATGCGCTTCCTAATGCCTGCCATGCCCCTGAAGCAAAATTCTCCACAGAACTATCAAGAACCTTTAAACCCTGCAAAAATTGAAAAGTAAGTAGAACTCATTATTAAGGCCCCCTTTGGTGCAGCTGCAGCTTCTAGCAAAGCTAAAATTCGATAATCTTCACATACCCTTTCACCTTCCCAATAATCAATTTATTTACGTCATTTTTTTTCTCATAAATTGTAAACAAAAAAAACTACACCAAACACACTGGCACAAACTCTCAAAATAAAAAAAAAAGAAGAAAAAAAAACCATAAACACCACCATAAGCTGCACCAAAAAGGGCTTAATAATAAGTAAAACTGACACTTTGAAATGAATTAAAGCAACTGAAGTAAACAAAAGTACACCCCAAGAAAAAAAACCATAAACACCACCATAAGCTGCACTAAAAAGGGCTTAATAATAAGTAAAACTGACACTTTGAAATGAATTAAAGCAACTGAAGTAAACAAAAGTACACCCCAAGAATTTGTCAAATGCAACCCATAACCATCACAAACAATATTTCAGACAACAACCCCAAGAAATAATTACCAAACAAATTTAGTCATAGGATCCAAGAGAATAAAGAGTAGCAGAAAAAAGAAGTAGGTTTCGTAATCGGAGGTAGAGCTAGTGCCCCATTTTAATTTTTAACTCAGAAAAAGAATGAGATAGAAATCTGAGGACAGGTAAAAAAAAAAGTAAAGCCTAAATCAGTACACAGTCCATCCTCCCAGAATCATGAATTGATGAGACCAACCACAAGTTTAGGGAGAGAGAATTTAAAGGACACATGACCTATGTAAACTAATATGGAGGGTATGAATAAGGAAATTATGCACTTCTGAAATCCAAGAAAAGACAAACCCAAGATACAATTTATTTAAATTCTCATCTACATTTGAGCTATCCTGCCCTTTGTTTCCTTTTATAGTTAATGGTTGATGATAATCATAGTCTTTTTAAGTCTTGTTCTATGGTTGAGAACCTTTAAATTTATGTAGGATTTTTAGTATGATCAAGTGTATCTGAACATTTGAGTTGCTAATGATTAGTGTCCTATCTTCTAACTAAATTGCAGATACCAAACACCTATTCCGGTTGATCAAGTGACACCATGGAATGAATATGATTATGAAGGAGGTAAATAAATATTATATAATTGTCTATATTATTTTTTTCTAAAATATTTTTATAATTAGGTTATCTTGTGTGGAACTAGAGGGATCTCCTAATATGCGTGGGAGAGGACGTGGTGGTTGGGAAAGGGGTAGAGGAAGAGATAAAATTCTCTGCATTTTATTCCTTTGATTCTGCTTTTCGAAATAACATTGATGGTGCCTTTAAGCAATTGCGTTCTTCATTTGATTGTTATCTGTGCAGCTTTTAAATGTGCGACTGTCAAAAAAAGATGAACAAGTACTACAAAAGAAGTTTTACCATGAATTATTAAATTCCTTTAAAGCCGTGACAAATGTTGTGTGAGATTACCATGAATATTTTGAAAGAAAGATTATGAGAACTAATTAACTCAATAAAGTCATGCTACTTGAGGTTGTGAACATTGATCATTCTCTGCCATGTTGCTGTATATAGGGTGTTAACCTAACTTTTGATTTTGAAATAGATCAAAATTTATAGGAAATACAGGAATTTTAGAAAAAATAAATATGAACAACAGATATTTAAGCGAAAGAAGTGAATTAAACATAAGATGGAGTTATTTCAAATGGGTTGATTCTTGTTGGTGGTTGACTGGAATGAAATTTTGCGGCAGACAACTGATATACAAGTGAAAGGTCACTTTAAAAATAATTTTTGCTTCCCCTAGAAACAAAAGAAAGTATACTATAGAGCACTAATCGATGGATTTTTGTGTTCAAACTATTTCACATAGATCTGTCTTCTTTCTTCCAGTTTGGTCCCTAGAGTATCCTCTGGGGGAATTAGATTCAAATTTTGATCAAGCATATATTGCTCAACAGATAGAACCAGCTCTTGGTGATACTTCAAATAAGTTCCCTGTATAGCACCACATTGAATGTGGTTCCATATGGTAGCCTGATGGCATGGTTGGTTAGATGATGTTTATATTGTGGGTTTCAAACCTTGGCATAGAAAGAATAGGAGAACACCTATAAAAGAATTTGTTCCAACACTCTTCCTATTTTGATGACACCCAATCAAGGACATGGTTTCTTGAAATAAAACTTTCAGAAGTTGAACTCTAATAATAAAAAATTGAATGGATAAATTGTAGTATTTTTTTTAAAAAAAATTAAAAAAGATGGGTTATATATTAAACAAATATAGGGGAATATATAATTTGAGGTGGCAAATTGAAAGATATTTTCAAAACATTAGGTGAAAATGCAAGTTTTTCAAAGTTGAGGAGGGGCACATGCCCCTTCTAGGCCTTAATTGGCTCCGCCACTGATTGCTGGAGACTTGCAACAGTTCACACTAGAATGTGAAATCACAATGGGTACAGGAATTGGGTTTCAAGTTATGATAGTTGATGAAATATTTTAAAAATTGGATAATGTTTGGTTAAGAAACATTTCTGTTAGGGGTCAACATATTAATTTTCAGCACCCTTTGTCAGTGGTTATAGTGCTGCTTCGTGGATTATATTGCTTTACTCTTGCCCCTCTATTTTGACACTTTACGAAATGTAATAGCTACAAAACTGTTTGTCATTGGCTATAGTTTTGCTTTTGTGGATTATAGTGCATTGTTCTTGCCCCTCTATCCTGACTCCTTACGAAGTGTAATAGCTACAATCTATATCTTCTACATGGAGTAGAAACAATGGAGATGGTGGATGGGATGGTGGACGTGGATATGGTGGTAGAGGCCGAGTTAGGGGAAGATGCCGCGGTTTTCTTGGACGTGGAAGAGGCTATGGTGGTGGGGATATGCAACAAGACTTGGGTGGTTACAATGGTGGATCAGGGGCACTGTTTGCTCAAGGCCGTGGTAAGTATTTTTATATGTTTGTCATTCCAAATATTTCTCTCTACTTAAGTAAAATATGATGGTCAATTAACAATAGTGGCATTGAGAACTTTAATAACCACACTCCAGTGACCTTTGTCATTTTTTTTCCTGGGCTTGTCGAGGGTGGAATTTCTTGTAAGCCGCAGCTGGAATTAGTTGCATACTTTTGTGCATCTTCTAGATTTATTTTTTTTTTTGCCGAAATTACACCCTTAACCTTACTTCTAAATTTGACTTTGATACCTGATCTTATCAGACTTTAAATCTTTTTCCATTTGGTCCTTCTATCAATTATCGTTAAATATTTGGACGGGAAGTGACATGAACACATTTTTAAGGGCCTTTTTTTAATGATAAATTACACTTTTCATCCTCAAAACTTCCACCTAAATTCAACTTTTACTAAAATTTCAAACAGTGGGATGACTGGAGGACCACATTGAAACACATGTTGAAGTTTGATAACCTAATTGTTGCATTTAGAAGATGAGGAACCAGAGTGAAAGTTTGAGGGTGAAAAGTGCAATTTACCCATTTTCCATCTCTCTTATGTTCCCTAGATTAGTCTGGCTTTTTTGAAGACCTTTTACTTTTAGGAAAATTAGAATTTATCTTATCTTTTTTTCCCTTCATTTCTCCTACTCATGACAACAACCATGGCTGCTGACATGGATAGGAGAAAGAAGGGAAGGGAAGGGGAAAGAGAGAGAAAATAAGAAGAAAAGAAATAGGTAATTTTAAGCATATCACAATATTTAAGATTTCATGTGCATGTCATATGACAATTTTTCATCCATTTATGTAATGGATCCTTAACAGAATGTTCACATTAATGCAAATTGATAATTCAAGGTGGCAAAGTGTAGTGCTTTTAGTTGATGGAATAAACTAATACTGAGCGATATATTCAAGTGCGTTTGCCTTTTTGTTTCATAGTATTCACATCCAAGCCTGTAGTGCTGAATCTGCAGTTCATAATGTTGGATACCTCAAAATCTTGCTTGGCTAATCTGCGTTCACAAAAAATACAAATCCAGCTGGTTTTGGTTCATTTTTCTAAGGTATTGGTGAAGGATGATGAGATTAAGGAAAGATGGAAGAAGTATTTTGAGAAATTGTTAAATGAGGAACATGGAAGTACAACAATAGGGGAAGAAATAATCAGTAATACGATAAACCAGGACTATAGATTCTATCGCAGGATTAGGAACTTTGAAGTAGAGATTGCACTTAAGAAGATGAAATCAAATAAGGCTTTAGGACCTGATGATATCCCTATTGAAGCTTGGAAGTGTATGGGTAAAAAGGGAGTTGCTTGGTTGACTAGGTTGTTTAGCAAAATTTTGTTGACTAGGAACATGCCAGATGAGTGGAGGAAGAGTATTTTAGTGCCAATCTATAAGAATAAAGAAGATGTCCATAATTGCAACAACTATAGAGGAATCAAGCTAATGTGTCATATAATGAAAGTGTGGGAGAGGGTGATGGAACGCCAATTGTGAGACATAACAGAGGTGTCAGAGAATCAATTTGGGTTTATGCCTGGTAGGTCAACAATGGTATGTTCCCTGGATTAGTCTGGCTTTTTTGAAGACCTTTTACTTTTAGGAAAATTAGAATTTATCCCATCTTTTTTCCCCTTCCTTTCTCCTACTCATGACAACAGCCATGGCTGCTGACATGGATAAGAGAAAGAAGGGAAGGGAAGGGGAAAGAGAGAGAAAATAGGAAGAAAAAAAATAGGTAATTTTAAGCATATCACAATATTTACGATTTCATGTGCATGTCATATGACAATTTTTCATCCATTTATGTAATGGATCCTTAACAGAATGTTCACATTAATGCAAATTGATAATTCAAGGTGGCAAAGTGTAGTGCTTTTAGTTGATGGGATAAACTAATACTGAGCGATATATTCAAGTGCGTTTGCCTTTTTGTTTCATAGTATTCGCATCCAAGCCTGTAGTGCTGAATCTACAGTTCATAATGTTGGATACCTCAAAATCTTGCTTGGCTAATCTGCGTTCACAAAAAATACAAATCCAGCTGGTTTTGGTTCATTTTTCATGTATTATATTTATATTTCCACTTTCAACATTCAGTTCTATGGATCTTTTGCAGGCCGTGGACGTGGACGTGCGCATGGATGCAGCTGGGGCTGTGGGCGGGGGCGTGGGGGTGGTCAGGATTTCAGATCTGATGGTCCAGTCTAGGCAGCTGCCTGACCGGCAGGAGGAACAGCTCTTAGATTTGTAGTTCTGGATGCCTGCTCTGCTGATTATGTCTTCTTCTCATGAAAAAAATGGGAAAAAAGAGAGAGAGAAAAGTAGTGTAATTTCATCGATAATTTTCTAGGAATATGGGTTAATACTGAGCTGCTGCTGATTTCATGCAGAAGCCATGTTTTTTTTGTAGTCAGTAGGATTATTTTGATTTAATGATGACAAACACAGTTGTACAATTCCTCTCTTAGGAGAAATAATAGAGCATTACATTCTTTTATTCTTATTTCTAAATTTACCGCCTCTTTGCTGAATCAGTTGTTTCATGAAATTTTTATTGTAAGGCTGCTTGGACTTCGTATTACTTGTTTTCAGCCTCCAGCTTTGTCACTGGCCCCCCTTTCTAGAAGTTGGGTGAACTATACATTGTTTAAAATGCATCATATTAGCAAATAAGTTCCATAGGACTATGCAATGGTTTCTAGGGGTGTGTGTGTGATACATGTAACTAGAAGTTTTTATGTTGTCCTATTTAAAGGGTACTCTAGTGGGCTACATGTAAGTGAATTGAAGTTGAAGAAGATTACAATAATATTCATATATATTAAGTGTTTTAATTGATTCCTTAGTTCATGTTGAAGGAGATCTGTACGAGTCCTACATCTTACAACCGTACATCTCAATGCATACTTGTACCCTCTAGGACAAATTATTTTAAGCTTTCGTTGCCTTTGACGCCTCCTCCCTCCCGTGTTTCATGAAAATGGTGAGCTGAAATATGTTGGTGTGCCGGAATTGGCATAATGGGACTATCTATGCATTCTATTGTTGGGATTGCTTTCTTTCTTTCTTTCTTCTATCTTTTATTTTTTATTTTTTTATTTTTATTGTGTTTGGGAATGCTCTTTTTGGTTTAACTTTTTTGTTGGACAATCTTCACTGTATTTAAATAAATTAAATTCTGTTGTGTACTAAACAACAACCAGAATATAAAGAAATAAAGAAAAGAAGAGAATTTGTTTGATTACAAAAATCAAACTCGAAATAAAAATAAATAAATAAAAACAGATTTTATTTTGTTACAAAAACAAAATTAAAATCTGATTTAAATAAATAAATTAAAATCGGAATAAAAATTAAACAACTTACTTGGTTAATTTCTTTTGAATAACTATCTGATCAAGTCCAGTGTTTAACACTGTGTCCTTAAGACAGATTCGTCCTCTCCACGGTGCTTTCAGAATTTGGACGTCTATCTCCCAGGATAAAATGATCTTATCAACGAATAAAAGCAGCACTACCATTTAATCGTTCGTCGAACACACAAAGTGTTTACACTCTTTCTTTCAGAAATAAAATGCAGCAAAATGCAGAGATTTAAAACAGATGATGGAGTACGAAAAATTCGAGATAAATCCAAATGGGAGACTAGTCTATTTATAGATGTAAAGGTGGCTGTTGGTTTTGAATTGAACAGGTGTGAAACCTGTTGGTTTTGAATTCAAACAGATTTGAATCTGTTGGGTTATATTTCAAACAGATAACAAAAACGGGAAGGGCTCTGTTTGGGTGTGCAATAATACCAGACTGGTTTATTTCGGGAATGGCCTTGTTTGGATGTACAGTAAAACCAAACCATGTTATTTCCGATTTAATTTGAATTCTGGATTTTATTTTACCAAAAAATAAAATTAAATTCAAATATTTTTGGCCCAAAAAGATTAGTATTAGACCGAACAAGCCCAACCCAACCTCACACCACGCACAACCCCAGGCCCAGCCCGCTCGACCGGACGGACGGACGGCGGCGATGTGCGCGTGTGTGGTGATTTTTGGGTCCAATGGGTCTAGCCCATAACCTCTCCCTCTAAAACACTTGGGTATCCCTTGGGGCACACCCCAAGTATCAAACCCAAGCCATATAAACCCATTCAAAACTTCCCACCAAATCAATGTGGGACAAGCCATTTTACAACCTTAAGGAATTTCTACCAAAACTCCATTTCATGGAGCACACTTTGGCTTCAATTTCCCATTCACTCGGTAATGGTTTTGAGCAACCAAATATACCACGTGAATCACAACACGGTATAGAACGCGTTACCACGTTGACCCGTGTAAATCGATGCACGGGGCCCACCTAAAAAATAGACCAAACTTAGGAAAAAATTCTGGTTTTACCCAGAATTTTATAACTATTTCCAACAATCCCCTACATGAATGGAATTTGATGACAACGGAAATGCAACAATATGCAAATTTTAACGAAAGAGTATAAGTCGAAAATATCTTGCATCAGGATAGGTAGCTTTCGGCCTTGAACCTTCCCTAGTGATAACCTATCGGACTTACTGGCTAACCAATGGACGCGATGCCTTGAATTGTTCAGCCGTTTGTGTAAGCCAAGACAATAGATTTCACACAAAATATCTTCTAACACATCGTGGTTCTCACTGTTGTGTTCATTTTGGCCTTGAACGCTCCTGGTTTTCATGAATGTTTCTAGAGAATTTAGCCTTTTCATTCTCATAGAACCGGCCCCAGTTCAACACTCATATAGGTGATTCTTATTGTGAGTATCTCCTTATACTCATCTTGATTTATGCCTCAATCAAGATATAAGTAATCATTAAAAGCAAAGCTTATCCTTATGCCCCTGCATACTACATATGTTGCAGATATCACTCTCACCATAGGAATGGGTAGGGAATTTTTAATCCCTTGGTGATTTCTAGCAAGCCACACATAACTTAGTTGTCCTTTTGAACTTAGTTCTTGCGATCTCCAGTCATATAAGTAGGGTTACCATTATGACGACTCTTATGTAATAGGCTTTAATCCCATCCCTTTCGATGAACTATACACTAGCTCTTTTGTCAAACCTTTTGTTAACGGATCCGCAATATTCTCCTTAGATTTTATATAATCTATTGAGATTATTCCGTTTGACAACAATTGCCTTACGGTATTATGTCGACGACGAATATGTCGTGACTTATCGTTATACATATGATTCTGTGCCCTGCCTATTGCAGATTGACTATCACAATAAATGCAAATAGCTGGCACAGGTTTTGGCCACATTGGAATCTCTTCTAAGAAGTGACAAAGCCACTCGGCTTCTTCTCCTGCTTTGTCTAAAGCAATAAACTCAGATTCCATTATGGATCGTGCGATGCAAGTTTGTTTCGTGGACTTCTAAGAAACAGCAGCGCCTCCTAGAGTAAAGACATATCCACTAGTGGATTTTGAATCTTTAGTATCCAATATCCAATTGGCATCACAATAACCTTCGAGTACTGCTGGATATCGAGTAAAGTTCAAACCATGATCACGTATACAGCATAACCCAACCCTCTCTCCG